TGTCATAGAAACACCTTAGTAGAAAATCGCTTCCTGTCTCGTAAATTGCGACCAAAGTCAAAAAAATTGAATTTTTGAGCATAAATTTCCGTGGGTCCCGTTTTTATTACGGAAATTTACGCCCGAAAAATTTCCTGATGCTAATTATTTTCAATTTTTTTTTATTTTTTTAAATTTTTTTAAATTTTAGTTATTTTCATTTATATTTAATTAATATCAAAATTTTTATTAGGTACTGAGAAAAATATTAATAATTAAAGTTGTAAATATTATTTTTGACTACAATTTTATATAAGATAGTTGATATTTATTTTTAATATCCATCAAATGTGATATAGATAATGATATAAGAATAAATTTATTATTTTTTGTCAGTTTCATTTAAAGCGTAATATCTTTATGTATAGATATTCAATTTTATTATAAAATATATTATATAATATAGAAAAATCTAATAAAAAAAAATCTGTACAATTTAGATCACTTATTGTATCACAATTAGAATTTTAATTTAGTAATTATTTTCATTTCACAAATACTTTTGCTAGGGGAGTGTTTAATTTAAATAGATGAATAGATTTGTAGCAGTAATGAATGGTATAAAGGAAGGGTTCATAGAACAAATTTTGTGACTCTTTTATTATCAACTGAAATAAAAATTTAGGTTATTTCTGAAAATGTCACAGCTGTAAATTGTCAATTACTATTTATCAAGATTTCAAGTATGTCAAATATATATTATATTTAATAATTCTGATAAATAAAAAAATGTATTTAATTTACTTAATATAATTGACTTAACAGGTTTCTCACCTGTCTTGGAAATATGAAATTTATTGATACTTCTGATATATTGGTAGGTGATAAATAATGTATTGACTGTGGATATAATTTTATTGAAGTGGTGGAATAGTTTGATTCTTATAAATTGGATATTTCAATTGAATTTAAATTGGCCATTCATTTATTAAGAGGGCATGAGAAAGTTAGAATATTATTTAATAAAGCTGATATGGTTGATAGACAACAACTAATGTGTGTGTAAGTATTGGATTTTCTCCCTGTAAAAATTTACAAACAATTTTGTTATGTACAAAGATATGGTGCCATGATGTGGTCTCTTGGAAAAATAGTACAGACGCTTGAAATAATATGAGTTTATCTTGGTTCTTTTTGAATTGAAAAACCACAAAATGTATTTGACAATTGTAGGTTATTAATTGAGGCTGAACAAAAAGATCTGTTGAACAATTTACGTGATTTACCTTGTAATGCAACTATCAGAAAGATCAATAACATAGTTAAAAGAGTGAGATTAGCAAAGGTATGAAATTATTAAAAATAATTTTCTAATGAAAATTTGACAAATATTGGGTTATAGGTACATGCTTACATTATTGGACATTTAAAGAAAGAAATGCCAGCCATGTTTGGTAAAAACTTCGAAACAAGAAGAATTTATTGAAAAACTAGATAAGGAATTTCTAAAAATTCAACAAGATTTCCTAACCTTGAAAGATTTAAACAAGGTCTTAATCTTTATACTGGAATTACCAAAATTAATGACTGAAATTCCACAAGGTAATAAATTGATCGCTACCATCCGATTATTGGGATTTCTCTGCTGTTAATAAACAGTCAATTATACCACAATTCAATGTGGCCTATCTATTTTTTTTATTTTCTTGTATCACGCTTTTTTACTTTCGAGTGCATCGCAGGCCATTACTCTATCTTTAATAACCCCACAATTATACCAATTATTTGTTTTTTATTATCCCGTAAATTCTACTGATTCCTTTTTTTGGTATCCAGATTTACTTGACAATATAAACATTAATCATGTAATCATGTAATCATTAACAAATAAACTCGCATCTGAGTTTATAGAATTGAATTCTTTTCCACATATCGGTTGGCAAGTTTTAGATCGACTGATTGCATGTCATTATTTATGAAATAATTAACTCACATCAGTAAGAACATTTTACTTAATTTCAAATCTCCTCTACCAGTAATGAACAAATTATTTTCAAATCGTTTTCATTTTCCGGATCAGCCGCCAAACGAAGACAAGTGAGTGGGTATCAAATATAAAGTACTTAAAATATCCATTATCTGTCTAGTGTTGAATTGTATGGATTGCAGGTTGCCTTATAAGATCGGAAGATAAAAAAGTATAATAAATTCTTGAAAGTCAAGAGTCTTCTGGTTATAAATTTCAACGAGAATATAACGGCGATGTATCTATAATTGACATAAGCTATCCCGAACATGGTTTGGTTGCGGGATTACTGCAACGATACTTCAATGCTCCAAGCAATAATATTATTGTCTACCCTTCAATAATTTTTGGTATTGATGAATGTAAGTGAATTCTTTTAACTTGTTTGACCTTTAATCCATAATTGTCTTTCTAAACCAATACCTTTCATTAGTTCATGATAGTCCTTCTGAAACTGGTGAATTAATTGCAGCAGATGTTTCTGTATATACAAATGCAAATAATGTCCAACATCCCCGTATACCATATTCAGGCCCTCCTCCAGGAAACAAAACCGTATTTTTATTTTAATACATGGACATATTTGTCTTTTGATTTTCTAACATTAATATTCCAATATAGGGTTGGCCACATTTGCGAATTGCCTGTGAGGTAGGCATCCTTCAGTCCACTGAAAAATGGACTACCAAGTGCCAACTATGGATAAATCAAATTTATGTCCGATATGTACTTGGAATTAAATTACATCAAAAAAGGGAATACAAAAAATGATCTCGGCAATATCATAGATCTATGACGGCTAAATTGTGGCAACATGGAGTAGCGGTGCTTCAGGAGGTATGAAACAAATCTATAATTTATACTTTAATAGTTAAATAATCTAACAACTTTTAAATACTTTAGTGGGAGTTTGGAACTCTTCAGCGACAAAGACAAAATTCTACTGTCTATAATTAACCCGGCCTCCCTCAATTTCAAGTCAATATTCCAATTGCACAAGTCTTCTGGGATCCTGCACTTCCACTTTCACCTGCAGCTGAATATGTGCCAGATGTTCCTGCTCCTCTTGTAAATGGCCCTGTTAATTTTACTATTGATTTATATCAAGTTCAACAATTAGTTTTATGTGAACAAGATAATACATAATTTTTTTTATTCATTTGTATCAAGTTCAACAATTAGTTTTACATTCTCAAAATAATGTATAATCTTTTTTTTTTATTATGTATTTATATGTCAAAAAAAATTTTTTTTTTTAATGATTATTTAAAAATCAAGAATATCAATCAATCAATTGCATTGTCATTGTCACCGATTGATTGTTCTAACCATTTCACCTGGTGTCAACAAGTGATTTTCGGAATCTTGACTCTATTTTACCTAATACCCATTTCAATGCTTGAGAGTTGAGATGAAATTCTTCTGTTACACGTCGACTTGCTAACCACGATCTTAATAAAATTCTAAATAACATGGTTGCATTTTGATTGTGCTTCAATACTAATCAGATCATTACCCTTGACTATTTCCAATTTGATACCAGTTCTTCGAAGACATTAATGACATCTATAAATTGCAGATTAGTAATGGCAAAACGTAAAGGTCGGATGTTAAACTTTTGTTGTGCATTTTTTATGAGATGTTTAATGTTTATCGGCAACGACCACTTATTATCACCCTTTGGGAAAATGTATGTTTGTAGCATCCTACGATCTTCTTTTAATTGATTATAATTTTCCCTTTTGCTAAATCTTTCTTTCTGATCATTCTCTTTTTCCTTATATTTTTTCATCATTTTTAGTAACTTCGATCATATATTTATTATCAAAATCTTCATCGGTCATTTGTAAGGAATCAAAATTTATTCAACAAAACATGCATTCATTCCATCTTCGCCGTAACAAAATCAATACCATGATTTCATCCGAGATCGAATAAGTGTCGCAATATTCCAAAGTGAAATTAATTAGCACCATGCAATTATCCAAAGTAAAACTCCTCTCCTATCTTCAAGCCTATAAATGTTTTGCATATTTTTTTTCCGCGCATGTTTAGAAAACCACCTTATTCCATAACTGTGCTACACTAATCGATTTACAATTCAAGTTAAAGGGCTTTTTTAATCAACTCTATTTTAAGTTTAATATTTTAGATTGCGTATGAAGGTAATCGTGTTAGAAGTTGATATGTAAGTAATATTTAGATAAAATATTGAAGGAAAACGGACAAATCTTCAACAAGGTCAATTCCTGCATATATGTAATATGTTCGCATTTTACAAAAGAAATGAGTAACTAATTATTATTTATTAAAAGTTTATATTAAATTGATAAAAGTTATACAAATACAAACATGATTATTTTCCTAAAATACAATATTTATGTGCTATGCTAAAATTTCTTTGAAAAAAAAAATTAAAATATTATGAAAAGTATGAAAAAATCTAATATAATGATATAATGATGATAGTTATAAAATTATTATTTCTATAATGGGAATATATATTATCTATTATGAAAAATTTTTAAAGGATTTTTAAAGGAAAAACATTATATTACCATAAGCTTTACTTAATATTTACAATAGAAAAATTAATTGCGAACTGATCTCCTCGATCTGCTCCTCTCATTTCCATTTGTTTTTTCTGTTGCTTCTCCGCTTTCTCCCCCTCCTCTTCTTTCATTCAAATATTCGTTCATTATTACAAGGTTATTATTGTTTTGGCAGCATTCTTTGATATCCTCTGACAAAAGTTTGCATAATTTCTTGTTTGGTATAATCAAATCTTTAAGCGGATTAATGTATTTAGTATTTTCGTAAATTTTAAGTTGCACTGACGATATTCCTACCGACTCTAATAGATAGAAAAAGTTTTGAGTGGATACTGGAGGATTAATTGTGTCCTATTGTTGATATAATTAATCAAGATTGTTAAATTATTTTAATAATTTTTCAATTAAAAAACACAAATAATATATTTTTACATATATATATATATATATATAGCTTATTCTAAAAAATTACCTGTGCACCATGAATCAATAAAACCTTTTTCGGTAACAAATTTGTTAATTCATCTAAACGATCTCTCATGTTATTTAGTGCATGGTTAAGTAAATATGAAGGTGAACATTGAAGTAAGGATTCGGGAGTATTTCCTATTAAAAATTTTGAAAAAAAATATCTTAATTTATATATTTAACGCAAAAATGATTCGATATTCAATAATTTACCCATTACTCGTGGCATAGAGTGAATTTGTTCCAATCCGAGATGATGCAAATATGCATAATAATAAGTTACATCGTAAATTCCCGAAAAACTAATTGAGCGAATTAAAATGGGATCAATTAAAACTAATCAAAAAATTAACAAGAGCGAAAGAATCGAAGGAATTGTTACTTACAATATCAAACCTTGAAGTCTAGGTAAACGAATTCCTTTATCCCAAATAGGAATTTGTACTTCGCTATTATTGATAGGAAGAATATTTAAAGAGGAACACACGTCATGAATCACTGTCAAAGCTGATATTAATACTCCCGTAGAATGCCCCATAAGATAAATTTGCGAGGGGTCACCACCATATTTTCTAAAATATTATTATAATGATCGTTAGCACGTGACTTAAACAAAATTTATAAATTTAAATTTATTAAGGGATAGATCTACCTTATACGAGTGCTTGTCCAGAAAATACAATGTTGAACATCCGCAACCATTTCTGTAATCTTTCCCTACAGAAATAATGAAATAATAATCTTAACATTTTATCAAGTGACGAATTAATATTGAAATAATTAATACGAAATTTATGACATTGAAGACATACTTTTGGATATAGAGTAATATCTGGAACCACCACAACATATCCTTGTTTATGAAGATTTTGAGCTATTGGCACGCTACTCGCACGGATTCCTGTAATAAAATAAAATTAGAAAATAATGAATATAATATACAGCGCTGATCCGGTAAGACACGTGATTTCGATAATTTTTTGACTTAAAAATTTACCAGTGTTGATAAAAATAATTACGGGAGATCCTGTCATCCGGTCATTAGAGTATACATCAAGTTTATTGGATCTATTAGGTCCATATCGATGATCATTACTAATGAATCGATTAAATTGATAAATTCATTTTTTTAATTATTCGTGAAAAATCAAAAATCGACTAGAATTACGGTTTTATATATACTTTGAAATTTTCATTCTTTGACTGGACAATCTATGCCAGAAATATTCAAGCATTGATGGAATGAATTCAGTTATCATTTCGTACAAATAATTAAGCAAATATAATGTGACTTTGTAAACTCGGATAGGGCTAAATGGGACCTTCGATTGTGATGGTGGTGCATCGGTTTGGGCTATGAATTACAAAAAAAAAAAAAAAAAAAATTAAATCATTTTTTACGCAATAGAATTCAAGATTGGATTTTGTACCAGATTCAATATTTACCGTAAAAAAGGTAAAAAGTCCAACATAATAAGTACGCATAAACTATATAAGTAATAATTGTTAGTTCAAATTATTAGAATTCAAAACATAATTTTTCGAAAAACATACATGTCGCTATAGCAACCAAAGGGAAAAATATCCAAGAAAATAAAACAATTAAAAGTAGTTTTGTTTTTTCTTGCATTTTTATTTTTTTTTTTTTAAAGTTTAAAAATTACAAATTAAACACTCGAGATGGGTGAATAAAAAAGGGTATACGAAAAGTCAATAAATTTATAATCAATGAATCTGCGAATTAATATAAAAAGTTTATATGCCGCTACTGTATTTAGTATAAAGAATAAATTCAGAATCATAGCATCATATTTATATTCAAAACACATGCACATTTTTTTCACGAGGAGTTTATATTGTCGTATGTTCTATTTGTATCACGGAATGTTTGTGGAGTATATGTTTATTAGCTGTGTAATCAAAAGAAAGGGAGTAAAGAAAAAGGAGTGTTTCGGTCTTTTTAGACAATGGATCGCTCAATATGTATACCCCTCGTCATACTATTTAATATATACACTAAAAATGTACAGTTGTTTTTCTCTTCTGCTTCTCTGATTAGTTGATAAAAAACTTAGTAAAGAACAATGAGCAAGTGTTTGCAACACAAAATTTCAAGATTAATACATTTTTGTACGTTAATATGACCTCTGTTACAATAATTTCATTGCAAACGAATGATAAGCACATATTAATTATGCTGGTATTAAGATAAACTTTATCACAGCATTTTGGTGTATGAGAAACAATTATTATTAAGAGAAGAAATAAGAGATACGAAATTAGGAATCGATTAGTCAGTAAAAAAAAAAAAATAAATAAATAAAATCCGAAAAAAATTTTTTTTAAGTAAAATCAATCCGAAAAAAAAAAAATAAAGAAAAAGATCAGAAGAAACACCAGAAGATTCAAGATTTTCAATATGAATTTTCATACACCAAAAACAAAATTCAAAAATAGATTGAATTAATAGCTGCGTTTCATCGGAAATTTCATTTTTTTCATGTGAAAGTTGCTTTAAATTTGATCTCTCTTACCATTATCAATCAATAAATGAAATCAACGATTTGGTAAGAACTACATTATAAGCTTGATCCAAGTATATATTAATAAATAATTTATTAAATATTTTACATTTTATTAAATATTAAATATTTATATTAAATATTAAATATTTTAGATTTTGTTAAATATTAAATATTTATATTAAATATTAAATATTTTAATTCCGAAATCTATTCAAGCACAGTCTTTAAATGCCCCATTAAAGCGCATATTGCTTGTATGCTATTTTAAAATCTTTCCTATAAATCGTTATTTAAAATTTTTAATCGGGCGTAATCTTGCATAATTACATATTTTACCGTATAACGTATACCATAGTATAAAATAGTATAACATAGTAGGTTAACGGTATTAATAGTAGAAAGTGGCGGGATCTATTTTTTTCTTATTACTTAGATATTTGATTTGGAAACCTATTTTGATCTACTTGATATAGATAGGATTCGTTCTATTTATCTATCTTTTTGACTCAAAATTAAAAGAATTAATTTATTAAGTATAAATAAAATAAAAATAAAAAAAATGAATTATAACAAAACTTGGTTATCATGGCAAAATCTCTAATCTAAATTTGAATATCATAATCATTATGTAAATAAACAAAAATAAACTATCGGAAAACAATAATTATTTAAAATTTTTTGTATTAAATTGGTCAGGTCATTACACAGTATATTTGTGTATTTGTCTATCATCTCTATCATCATTGTATAATCTATTGTATAATTACTATTTATACTATTTATACTATTATATTAAACTATTCAAATCTAAAACCTATTTTTAAAAAATTTAGATTTAAATCTTAATCAAAAATGGATTAATGCTGATTGAATTATGTATGATATTTAACTTATTTCAGTAAAGAACTACAGTCAATTCTCTCTATAAATGCTCTCTTTTAATTTTTTTTAATTTTTTAATACCTGCATTTCCCTTCCTAAATGCATTCTGAATTAGTCTATGCTTTATTTTCCCTCTAATAATAAATGCATATTCTCTTTAAATGCATTATTAAGTCCAAAAGATTTGGAAATTATATGTGTATTATCAAAATTTTGCGGTGTTTTCCTTTGAAGATACATAAAATACGCGTTTGATCGACATACGATCGATCGCCTGAAAATCTTACGCGTATTACAGAATCCTGAACATGTGATGAAATTTATTTTTAAATTTTATTGAAATAAATATTTTATTTCGTGCACATTGAAATATTTTTATTACCAGAAAAACGGTTTAATTTCTTGGATACATTAAAAATACATAATCCACAAATTTGGCATTCAGCGAAATATTAGAAATTAATTTTTAATGATAAAATTAATCAATCAACCATAATAATGGTATTGATTAAAAAAAAATGTGAAATAAAATCAATACAAGCCAGATAAATGTCCAATGTAAGCACGATAAAAGCTTGGGGTTACCAATCTGGAGGTAATGGAGTCAGTTGACATGGATCTTCGGGATATCGTGCATTATAATTTGCGACTAATTCAGGTTCATATATTCGTACATCTTCTAATTGATTACCAAGAGTCATCCACCCTGGTCGAGTATTATGTTTCCGACCAAAAATTTCTAAAAGAAAAAAAAAAATGTAAATATAAAATAACGAAAATACAGGATGAATATATATCTATTTATAAATAACCTACCTAACTTTCGTGTTCCTGAAGCCAACCGATCTATTATACCATAGATTTCATCCGGCTTTCGACTAGTTTCTCGAACCTTTTAAACAAATAAATTAAGTATATCAGATCATATATATCATATGAAATTACGATTAAGAAAATAATTTATACCTCTCCAACTAAAACATCACAATCGAGACCTATATTTAAATCTTCAGGTTTGCCTTTTATTCCTACCAAACAATGTTCCTTACTGTGATTTAACCAATGTCCAGTACGACCCGTTCTAATAAGCCTCTGTAGTTGATTAGTTTTGATCCAAACAAGTTCATCTGCGCGGTCATATCTATGAAAAATTAAAAAATTATAAATAAATAAATATTATCATTATAAAAATAATCGAAATAAAGATAATATGTTATTGTATACCCCCAGATAGCCAAGCATTCTCGTCCGAGCTCCATAGCTCTTCCAGTAACCCATAAGAATAATAATCCTTCATCTTGCAATTCGGAGATTGCCATGGCTTTCATTTCATCATCGGTCATAGTACCATAAGGAAGCTAAAAAATTCAATTCCTTAACAAAGCATCTTTTGATAATTTTCATTTAGATTATTGGGATACCTTACCGTCATATGAATATCCCATGGCGGATCGGCCATTATAACTGTAAATTTTCCAAGAATCGAAAAATCAAATTTTCTTACATCACAATTAATCCATTGAGGTGGAAGCTTTGGTAACACGAAAAAAAAACCACTTTTTAATACAACCAAGAATTATTAAAAATTTCATTTTATAAAAAAATAAAATAAAATAAAATTAACGTTTACCACTTTGGTAGGGGGTATGAAAATCTTCATTTTATATCGGAAAAGTTAGTAAATTGATTAATCAACAAATATTAAAAATATTACTAATGTTCATAAAATTTAACTTTACCACTCCCGATGGAATTGGCTTTCGTTGAACGTAAGTCCACTTTTCTTCATCATCGTCTAATTCATAATGTACGTACTTGCAAGTGTCCATACGATGGCACGTGTTCAAATAAGAACAATCGCCCAATTCTAAATCTGTATGAGTTCGAAGCATTGGCCGAAAATGTAACTACATGAATAATTTTTGAATATCTTAAATATGCGCCTTAAAAGTGTGTCGTACATCCTGAAATAAATAAATTTTATGATAATAAAACCAACTTTTTTGCAAGCTCTAGATGTTTTTCTATTTCTACGGCAATCAGATTTAGTACCATGAACACAAAACTCTCGAAAAGAATTATTTGATGATCGAAACTGATATAAAAAATAGAATAATTTTTAAATAAATTAAAATAGATCAATCGTAAATTTTACAAAATAATAAAAAAATTTAATAAAGATTATGCATTGAAACCTTTATTTTTTTACCATTTTTATAGTAAGTTTTTCTTTAGTTGATTTTTTATTAAGCATTATACTCATATCTTGTAATAATTCAGTTTCTTGAGATTCTTTGAATGATGGTTTAGACAAAAGTTCATTGATTTGCTTCAATTGTTTTTCTGTTACAATATTAATAAAAATGATTAAAAGAATTAAATACTTATAAATACTTAAAAAATAAGGTAATTGAAAATGTGACTTAAAAAAAAAAAAAAAAAAAAATACCAGAATCGTCACCGTCAATTATTTCTTCAATTTTACGCTTTTTCCTCTTATCTTTCACTGAAGTGGTTAATTGCAATGCCTTTTCAAAAGAAGTAGCATCATCCGAATCTATAGCTCTAAAAATGTTATAAGAATTATTTTAATATCTAACATTTTATATTTAAAGTTAAATATCCAAAAAAGTTTTTTTTTTTTTTTTGCAGACCTTTCAATAATTCTAACATAATTTAATTTTTTGAAATCAATTTTTTCCACCACCAATCTCTTATTCTGATTTTCTTTAATTGATAATACATTGGGTCCCCAGGTATTTGCTAATGACTTTAATGATGCTTCAAGTTTATTTAAGGATTCTTGTGTAAAAGGTATATTATAATTGGTTTTCCGAGCAGCAAGCCTTCACCAATAATAATATAATAATAATAATTGTTACTTAAGAATTATGCGAAATATGTGAATAATAGAAAATTAAAACTGATTTTACTTTGAAAATACCTTTTCAACAGGACATACGAATCTATCGGGAACGAACTGTCGCCGTGTAAATCGTTCGTAAAATAATCCAATGCAAGCTTTTCATAAACCAAACTAGACGGTTCTCTTGATTTGGTTGCAACTGTTGGGGTTCTAACAGCTGAGGTGGAAGACGACCACGTCGCGCAGCGGGTGTCAAGTCCGATTGTGTTGCTCGGACATTTGGTGGACGTCTGGATATGAAGATCCGAGCCGCCATGATTTATTGCTTTTTTTTCAAAATGATCTTTATTGGCTTTTATTTTTTCGTGGGTTTGTTTTAGTTCTTCTAAGACAGTTCTCGTCGTCGTCGTCGTCTTCGCTATATTTTCCGTATATTCCATTTGCCAGTTGAAAAAAAAAAATTGATATTGTCAGTTTAATTGTATAAATCATGTGATAGCCTATATATATAGTAATAAAATACACAACATTTTTGGTGTTCGATGTCTTCAATGTCTTCAGTCTACCGTTTAAAGTGTGCCGTTCAACATTATGAATGGGGTAAAATTGGTATTGAAAGTAAAGTGGCTCAATTTATTAAAGGAGTCGATAATTTTCAAATTGAAGATAATAAACCTTATGCCGAGGTAAGCTCGGGGAAGATTCAGAATTATATACTCATATAGAATATAATTTATTGAATTATATTTGATGTTTTTAATTCAAGCTTTGGATGGGCACTCATCCAAATGGTCCAAGCATCTTATCCAATCAATCTGCTACTTCTCTAAAAGAGATTATAAAGTCCAATCCCGAATATCTCACTCAAGGAATTGCCAAACTTTATAATGATGATTTACCTTTTTTATTTAAAGTTTTATCAGTACAAAAAGCTCTTTCGATCCAAGCTCATCCTAATAAAAAGCTTGGAAAAGAATTGTTTGAAAAGTTTCCAAAGATATACAAAGGTGAAAAGACTTTAATCCTCTCTTCAACATAATCAACATAAATATGGAAATCAAAATATTTTTAATCCAATCATTTTTTTTTTATTGTTTGCTCAGACCCTAACCATAAACCTGAAATGGCTGTGGCAATCACAAATTTTGAGGCATTATGTGGATTTAGACCATTAGAAGAGATAATTTCATTTCTTTCAGAATATCCAGAATTCCGAGAGTTAGTAGGAAATGAAGTGTCATCACGTTTCATACAAATCGTTAGTGGAAAAGAAGATTCCAAAGATTCAGAGGTGATTGAATTGAATAAGGTTGCACTCCGTGAACTCTTTACTAATGTTATGACAGCTGATACAAATTTTGTGATATCTAAAGTTAAAAAATTAATTTCCCGACTAAGTTCAAATAAGAATATTCCTTTAGTAGGAAGTACTCAAGAACTTTTGATCAGATTAAATAATCAATTCCCAGGAGATGTAGGAATTTTCTGCGTTTTGATATTAAATTATATTAAATTAGAACCGGGGCAAGCAATTTTTTTAGGAGCAAATGAACCTCACGCTTATCTTTCTGGAGGTAGAATTAATTTATTATTATTATTATTATTATTATTATTTATCACAATTTATTTGAATTTATTTATTTCAAAAGATCTATAACTCATGATTAATTCATTCATTTATTAAACTTTTGAACAGATTGTGTAGAGTGTATGGCAGCAAGTGATAATGTAGTTCGTGCAGGATTGACACCTAAATTCAAAGATGTTTCTGTACTTGTAAATATGTTAACTTATAAATATGGAAGTGCAAAATCTCAAATCCTTAAACCTACTCCATATAACAATTCCAAAAATTCATTATTATATGATCCACCTATTGAAGAATTTTCAGTCATATTGACAAGATTGAACCCTCAAAATAATAAAAGGGAAGTTTTTGAAGGAATTGCAGGACCTAGTATTTTAATTGTTACAGAAGGAAAAGGTTCTTTGTTGATTGATAATAAATCAAAAAATTTGGAACCTGGAAGTATTTTCTTTATTGGTTCTAAAACATCTTTTGTAATAGAAGCAGCAGAAGGTTGCCAGCAACTTATTTCATATTGTGCGTTTAGTTCTTTGAAATAATTATATATTTATTCGATATTTATTCGATATTTATTCGATATTTATTCTATATATTTATTCTATATTTATTCTATATTTATTCTCTGTTTTTATTTTCTATTCATAGATTAAAGATAATAAAACTATATATAGACTTCAAAAATAATTGTCATGCAAAATTCTAAAATTGATTAATATTTTTAAAATTGATAATCTTATTTACTTATTTAGGCATAATATTTTCCTATTTATCCTATTTATAAATAAACCAAAAATCGACTAATTTAGCTTAACAATGTAAAATTGAGGAAATATGGGAAATATGTCATCATTACATTAAATTACCCATAATTATCATAATTATATTAAATTATATGCAGATGTAGCATATTTCTTATCAAATTAATGAACATTTTAATATAAAATTTTCTCCGTAAAATGAATTGTTTTCTTAATTTATCTAATTTATCATAATTTTTAATAAAATAAAATTTAAACAATTATTTATATATTATTATTATACATTATTATACACAAATTATCATAAATTGCTATACGTAGTTTAATGATACTTAATTAGATTACACAAACTTCCATATTTGCAATTTTAAATTCTTAAAAAGGTAAAACATCATTCAAAACATATTATTAAAAATTTTATATCATATACAATCTTACAACTCATCCAACTTGTTTCCCCTATTTTTTCAAACTCAGTGGTTCATTGACGCGAGCATTCTTTCATAAATATTTCCTTATTTTTTTATCCATTTTTTTTTAAAAAATTTTATTCCAATTTTATATATTCAGGTCAAGTGTTTTTTTTGTGTGTGAAAAAAAAACATTTTAGAAATGCACAATAAAGGTGATTTTACTGAAATGGCTACTCCTCCTCTTGACAAAGTAAGAATACGCGTCCTTCAAAATGTCAGTCCTGTCGCGTCTGTTAGGAGTTATCCCTTTAGTGATTTTAATTTAATAAATAGGATACAAAAATCTTTGTAGTATTAGATTTACAAATAACGTGTTTTATGTTTTACAATAGGACTCGCCTTCTTTCATGAGTACAGATTCTTCTGTGCAAACTCCCATTGACGAGTCCACTACTCTAGAAAATATGAAAGAAGATACCACAAAGAATAAAAATAATAATGATAATGAAAAAGAAAATCTTAAAGTTTTAAAAGAAAAGGTACTATTTTTACTATCATAAAAAAAATTATTTTTGTGTTATCAACTATATTTGAAAATTTTTATTATGACGCGATTCCTTTTCACGTGAAACTAATAAATCTTTCATAGAACTTCGTATTTATACGATATTTATTTTGATATATATATATATATATATACATATGTATATATATATATATGTGTGTTGTTCTTTATAATGATTTTATCATATTACGAATCTTTTTAATGTTAAATTAAAGATCAAATATTTTAATGAATTCTTTATCTTATTCAGGCTGTAGCCGATTATGATGCATTAGTTGATAAACAACGCGTTCAGCGTCTAAAATTTTTATTAGAAAAGTCGTCTTTGTATGCACAATTTCTAGCCAATAAAATGGAGAGACAGCAACAAGAACAACGTGAACGTGCACAGGCTGAAGAAATTAAACGTACCCATGCAAAGGAAAAAGAAGAAAAAATCGCGACGGGGCTAACACGTAGATCAACAAGAGTCAATACAAAATCGACTAATACAGAACAATCCGTTCGGCAAACTACAAAAAAGAGAGGTGGTGGAAGTGGAAGCGTGGCAAAAAAGAGAAAGGCCAATGATTCAGTTTATAATATATCGGACTATATAGAGGTAATAAGTAACCATTTCCCGGATTTTTATGCATTTTTTTTTATTTTTTTATTTTTTATTCTTTTGATAGTTCAAAAATATTTATTTTAGCCAATTGATTTGTTTCATCAGGATGTGAATAAAAAACGAAAAAATTCTGATTCCTCTTTAACTCCTGTAAAAAATTCAAAAACAGAGGAATCAAATGATTTCGTTGAAGAACTTTCCGAGAATAATAATCCCGATACTAATAATCCCGATAATAATCCCGATACTTCGAATAAAAATCTCAACGTTTCTACTCGTCAACCTAAATTGGTAACAGGTGGTGTACTTCGAGAATATCAATTAACGGGTGTTGAATGGCTTGTAAGTTTGTACGACAATGGACTGAATGGCATTTTAGCAGATGAGATGGGTCTAGGAAAGGTGTGACGAATTTCATATATATTCACATGTATATAATATTATTAATTTTTATGTATATAATATTAAATATTTATGAGATACTAAAATATATCTCTCAATGAAAAGACATTACAAACAATTGCCTTCTTTGCTTATCTATGGGAACGTAAAATTTATGGTCCATTCTTGATTGTTGCGCCACTTTCTACTTTGGCCAATTGGATCAGCGAAATTCACAGGTAAATTTTTATTGTCACTTTTTTTTCCTTTACTATATAAATTCAATATCTTTTTTTTAAAAAAAAAATGTAGATTTACTCCAACATTGCCATGCGTATTGTATCATGGAACCCCTGAACAGCGGTCACACATAAGAAGCCGAAGGTTAAAGAAGCTTGATCACACCTTTCCGATTATTGTCACAAGTTATGAAATTGTGATGAACGATCGCAAATATCTTCAAGTGATTACCTAAATATATATATATATTTTTCGGTATTTTTATTTATGTTTTATATATTTAACGAATTACCTTCTCTCAAATGAATTTCGAATGAATATTCGTATAGAAATTCGCTTGGAAATACATTGTAGTTGATGAAGGTCATCGAATTAAAAATTTAAATTGCAAACTTATTCGAGAATTAAAAACTTATCAGTCTGCAAATCGTTTACTTTTAACGGGTACACCTCTGCAGGTACTTACCATTTATAAATTATACTGTTGGTCTTTTCCACAAATCTATTTTTTTTTTTGCTATTTATAATAAATAATGTTATTATCAGAATAATCTTGCGGAATTATGGAGCTTATTAAATTTTCTGTTACCTGATATCTTTGATGATTTGGATAGTTTTCAGGATTGGTACGTAAACAATTCATTTCTAATAAATATCTGTGTACACCTCTCGTCTGAATTTGTAAAAACTATTTTATAGGTTCGACTTTTCTGCCCTACATGAACAAGATGGTGAAACCCGTATTTTAGCAAAAGAACAGTCTAACGAAGTAATAACTAATTTGCATAAAATTTTGAAACCATTCTTATTACGCCGTTTGAAAAGCGATGGTAAGCTTAAGAAAAATTCATTAAAATTTGAATTGATATTTTTCCTTAAAAATAAAAAAAAATTGTTGTGAATTTTTTTAGTTGAGTACGATCTCCCAAAGAAGAAAGAATATTTGTTGTATGCACCATTGACACTACAGCAGAAAGAAATATATGATGCTATTTTATCCCGGAAAATTCGACCGTTCCTTCTTGCCAAGAAGATGAACCGGGACCAAGATATTGAATCCGAAGGTAAACAACATAAGAATATAAAAGCTGTTAATTTTTTTTTCCCCGAAATTTAGAGATTTGAATTTTTGCATACACGGACTTAGATTCAGATTCTACTGTTGAGACAGAAACAGGTGGTCAAGATAATGGACGTAAAATGAGATTGCGACAACTCCCGAAACCTGATTATACAGAACTTTCGGATGCTGAATTTTTTGAAAGATGGGAAAATGAGAAATTGGCACCGGAAGAACCCTTTAAAAATCCTTCTAAAGTTGAACGAGAAGAGAAAGCCAGAAAAGCTGGTAATTAATAAGATAAAATTTTTTTGATTATATTAAGCTTTTTGAATTTTTGTGAATTTGATTTTTTCATTCTCCTTTATTATTTTTTTTTTTAAAAAAAATACCTGCATTTAGTTAAATCCGTTAATTGTATGAAATTACAAAATGCTATGATGCAACTTCGTAAGGTCTGCAATCATCCATATTTATTCGATTGGCCCATTGATCCTTCTACTGATATGCCAAAAATCTCGAATGAATTAATTGCGGCATCGGGAAAGATGATACTTATGGAAAAATTACTTGAAGCATTATTTGAGCGTGGTCATAAAGTTCTCATATTTTCTCAGTTTACTACGATGCTTGATATTATTTATGATTGGGCTTCAATTTTTAAAAAATGGAAAATATGTCGACTTGACGGTAGCGTTAATCAAGAAGATAGAAGACAACAGGTATTCATTTAGTAAACGCTTAGTGAATACTTTTTTTTTTTTTTTTGTAGGTACATTAAATTATTTTTAATCTTTTTAATTTTTTTAATGTTAGATTCAAGATTTTAATACAAATCCTGAAATAAAACTTTTTATTTTGTCCACGCGAGCTGGTGGTTTGGGAATTAATTTAACAGCAGCTGATACTGTTATTATTTATGATAGTGATTGGGTAAGTTCAAATAACCCGTCGATCTATCTGATAACATGATGAGGATTGTCTTTAATTATTTTTTATTTATAGAACCCTCAAATGGATCTACAAGCCCAAGATCGAGTTCACCGTATTGGACAAACTAAACCAGTGATAATTTATCGATTGGTTACCGGAAACACAATTGAAGGTAAACTAATAGACAAGGCCACTGCGAAAAGGAAGTTAGAAAAATTAGTGATACATAAGGGCAAATTTAAATTGCCTACCTCCCGAGATACACCCATTGCAAGTCTTGCTGAATTTGCCGAAATACTTTCATCTGAGGATAATGAAAAAGTGCAACTTGCACAACATGGAGATGAAATAATTCCCGAGGAAGACTTGGTACGATTAATGGATAGAAGCGAAGAAGCATTCGCCAAAGTTGGTACAGCACATGAAGAAAAAGGTGCTATTTTCAAGGTTATTACTGAAGTCCGAGACCCAACGAATGATGCACTTGCACAAATCAGTAAAGATAATGGAACAGAAAAAATGGAATTGGATGAAGTCAAAAAAAATGAATGAAAACTAATTATAATTAGAATATCGACATAACTATATTTTTTATTAAAGTAATTTAGATTTTAGATAGTTTCTTTTTTTTAGACTTTTAAATTTGCTTAAATTTTTCATGAATTTACAAATTTCCTTTGTTGATTTAAGGTTAATAAATACAACAATGTATTGCATTTCAATAGAAACATAATAATTTTAATATTGAGTCAGATGATCAAAATTACCAAAGGTGTGCGCCAATCATTTTCTAATACAATCAGTGTGTAGAATATATATTGGTATTATTTAATTCCTTTACAGTAAACCCTCTATAAATGCACCCTCTATAAGTGCATCCCTTCTTAAATGCACCCTTTAATCCAATCCCCACATTGGGGAATAATTGCTAAGTGCACCCCTCTTATTTGCAATTTTTATTTCCCGATTATATAAATATTAACTCGTGTGATTTATATACCCACGTTATATAATAATAATTAATGCACCAGAGATCGGCTCTTATCCTGTGCACTTTATACCCTCTGAATTTTTATTGGTCCATAGTTTTGCAGGTGATCAGAATTGAAGTTTTATAAACGCACCCCTTTATAAATGCACCCTATTATCAACTCCCCGAAGGGTGCATTTATAGAGGGTCACTGTATTTACTGTATTTGCATCGAAAATCCTTTTGAATTAATTGACTCATTATATATGTAGTTTGTAAAATTACCCATTTTAATATATTTTTGATCTCTATTTTTAAATGCATTACATTTCGAAATAATTATTGATTCAAAACAAATCAATTGATTAAATACTTAATTTGATTAATTGAATTAATTGTATGAATTATTCTTGAAGATAAAAGATAAAAATTAAAGATAAATTTTATTAATGTAATTTATTTGAAACTATACACAGTAAATTTTCACAAAATGGTTAAAATTTTTATAACTTCTTAAGTTAATAAATTTAAACTTGCATTTCTGTATTAAAAATAAATTAAAATGATTGGTATTATGAACTAAAAATATTACCTTAAAATTTAAATACGAAAATTCACGGCAGGCATCGTCCCATAAACCTAGGATACAAACAACATTCTTTGACAGTGTCACGATGAAGCATCCAAGCTATGAAACGTTCAACACCTAAACCAAACCCTCCGTGTTCCGTTGATCCATATTTACGTTGATCCGTATACCAATAATATGGTTCCGGATTGATACCTTCGCGTTTGTAACCTGCCAAGAGTTCATCCTATATAATATAATAATATAAATAAATAGAAATAATAAGAAACAATAAAAAAAATAAAAACAAAACAGTTATCAAAGTTATTAACTGCAAAATAAAATACCAAATCAGAAATTCTCATGCTGCCTCCCACAATTTCACCAACTCCGGGCATTAGCATGTCGACACTTTCTGTTACCCGGGGATCATCACTACAACGTTTCATGTAAAAACTTTTAATTTCAACAGGAAATCGGCACAAAAGAATTGGACAACCAATTTTATCAGTCATCGCACGTTCAGGTGCTTCGGGGATATCATCACCAAACTCATAAAATGTGCCATCCTCTTTTTTGATGTCATGTTCTTTTAAGTATTTTATCGCATCTTTATAATCTAAACGCATAAAAGGACGTTGAGGTGGTTTGAAATCAGGAACAAGTTGATAAACCAAATCGCGAGTTGGTCCATGGGAGAGTACCCGATCAACAGTACCACAAACCAATTCTTCTATTGTATTTAACAATTCATCAAATGTAATGAATGCCATTTCTGCCTCTAAATGAGAATACCTTTCAAGTTAAAAAATATAATAAATCAACAAGTAAAAAAATATATATATATAAAAAATATAAAAAAAAATATAAAAAATATAAAAAATATAAAAAATATTAAATAATATAAATAAATAAATATAAATATATATATATATATATATATATATAATATATAAAAATCGACTTAATTAACGTACTGCTAAAAAAACCAAAAAAATTATTTGCATATTGACTTACTCAGATAAATGACGACGTGTATGAGATTTTTCGGCACGATACGATTCTGAACAACTATACACATCTCCAAGAGATGGAAGGCATGTTTCAAGATAAAGTTGTGAAGATTGGGAAAGATACGCCTAGTAAAAAAAAAAAGAACTTGTAAAAAGTTTAAGCTAATATAAATAGATTTAATAAATATAAAAAGATGTACCTTTTCGCCGTAATAATTAAAGTCAAACAAAGTACCTCCTCCTTCAACTTGAGTTTGTACCATACAAGGGGGATTAACTTCTGTGAATCCCCTCGAATCAAAATATTCGCGAAACGCCTTCATTATTTGAGAACGAACTCTCAACACAGAAGAAGAGCTTTCACCACGAATAACAAGATGACGTTGTTCATATAATACTGATGGATCAGCTTCCGCATTCAATTTATTAGTAAAAGCATCATCACCACCGGGAGCTTTATGAATTACTTCCCAATAATCTGCGGAAAGTTCATGATTATCTGGAGCCTATTATAGATTTAAATATTAATATATATAATATATGGAATTCAAAATATTTCTGCATTAAAATATAATTATTACCGTTTTTCCTTGAGGTAATTCAGAGATAACCCCATAGATTGTAATTGTTGATTCTAATGACAGGGTCAAGGCATCATATGTGTGGCACTAATACATTTTAAGCATAATCTTCGAGAATTATATAATTTGTTAAAAGTTAAAAAGTTTAAGATTTATTTACCAATTTCCCGGTCAAAACACACTGAAGATAGCCGGATCCGTCTCTCAAAATGACAAACTTCATATCCTTTCCCTGCGTTCGAAGACGATGCACCCAACCCGAAACTTTAACGCGTCGGCCACGATTGGCAACAGCTTCACGAATTTTTATCTTAATTATTGAGAGAAATCAATCAATTATTAAAAAAAAAATTTCAAGTTCCTTTTAATTATCATGCAATATACCTTTGTAGCTTGTTGGAGGGTTGGATTTTGTTCTAGTACTATAAGTTTAGCATCTTCTATTTTCTTTTTTTCATCTTCTAAAAATTGCATTTCTTTTTCTTTCTCTGACTTTTTCTGTTGCTCTGCTTTTTTAGCCTTTTTCGATAATTCTTCGACGCGTTTTTTCGCTTTTTTCAAAGCTGCGCCAGAAATATCGGTGTAACCATCCGTTGACGATTTTTTGGTCAATATTTTAATATTCGATTCATTCACTTGAAGTGCATAAACTACTGTTTTATAAGGGGCATCCTTTTTTCCGGCGTTGGTTGTGTCAGAACCATTGATCTCATCAACATACACGGTGGATGCTTATATTGTGGAAAAAGAATTCAAGAATAATGAAATGATAAACCTTTTACTATGTTCTCATATCTCTTATATCTTAGGTTCTGGTTAAAACTTACAGCTCCCCAACTCAGTTTTCGTTTCTGGTATTATATCGCCCATTTTTTAAATTGAGAAAACCAAGATAATCTTATTGTTAAAAATCATAAAATCGACCAATCTAACTATAAAAATATATCAGTGATAGCACATGCAAATGATCGGCAGTGCAAATTGAGAATCAATTTGTGTAATCAACTCGATATTTGAGAATATAACATTCAAAATCAATAAATATAAAATATATATAAAATAAAAGATTACAAAACTTTGAAAATTTTAGTAATTTGAAAGTCAAAAAAAGGTCTATTTAAAGTTTGAACAATGGGTAATACGTAATATTGAAGACTTGAAAAATTACTTCGTCTGGTTACACAAGAGTTTAATTAATGATTGTATGACTGATGTAACTCTAAATATGAAATGTATAAAAAAGATCCCCGTGTTTAAAATTGTTAACCCCTAGGAATAACGATAAAAAATTCTTGTGAAACATTTTGACTATCTAAATCAAATATGTTGCAACTTTTACAATTTACTACTTGTAATTTTTGTATTGATTTATCTCGAAATGTCTACCATGCTTTCTAATATAAATAACAATAACGGCAATAGCCACACCTATAGTAATGAAGGTGTAAACGGCTCAAGTTCAGATAACGGTGAAAATCGCCCATTATACCAGAACGAGAGAAATGGAAATGAAAATGAAAACCAGCAATTATCACAAAGTTCACAACGGCAGGCGACTCCTCAGCAGCATCAAGACCAATCGTCTAACTATATCGCAAGACCTACTTTTGGTCTGGTCGATTTTGTACTACAACGGACTTTAGGTATGTTTAACCATTATATATCTTTGCAGCTATTTTTTCACTTTTTTTTCATTTTCCTATTTTTGAGACATTGCCGAGTAAAGACGCCATTTTTTTTTAATTAATAAAGTGTACACCTGATATAATTATCTGTTTTTGCTTCGATTGTATATACTTTACATACTGTAATAATTAATTAATGAGATATGTCAATAGTTCGGAGAAATATAAATAAGGTTAAATAGCCGTAAACAACCACGTGAACTTATTTATTAAAATATTAGATTAATCATTGTTTGACATTAATATATATAGGCACTGGAACATTTGGGCGCGTCTTTCTTACAAAATTTAGGCATACAGAACATTATTATGCCATGAAAGTACTAAAAAAATCCGAAATAGTCCGACTTAAACAAACTGAACACGTTAATTCAGAAAGATTCATTCTATCTCAAGTCACCCATCCATTTATTGTGAATTTGTAAGTAATCAATTTCATTATGGTCATTATGGTCACGTATTATTATAAAAGAAAGAGAACTAAACGAAAATAACAAAAATCAGATATTGTACATTCCAGAATGATAAGAACTTATATATGCTATTAGAATATGTGATTGGTGGAGAGCTATTTTCTCACCTGCGAAGAGCAGGACGATTTACAAATGATATGACACGCTTTTACTCTGCTGAAATCGTTTTAGCACTTGAGTATCTACACGACAATGAAATAATCTATCGCGATCTTAAACCTGAAAATCTATTATTAGATTCGAGAGGGCATATAAAGATTGCAGATTTTGGCTTTGCTAAAAAGCTTGAAGACCGGTAAGTAATTGTATTTATTTTTAAAAAAAAATTTTAAAAATATACTTTATATGAAATAAAATTTATATTAATTCTTTTTTTTTTAGAACGTGGACATTATGTGGTACTCCAGAATATTTAGCTCCGGAAATAATTCAAAGTAAAGGTCATGGCAAAGCGGTAGATTGGTGGGCACTAGGGATTCTAATATTTGAAATGTTGGCCGGGTAATTTTATTTTAAATTAATATAATTTAAATAACTTAAATTCTGTTAGGATAATCTTCTTAATGAATTTTTTGAATCATATAGGTATCCACCCTTTTTTGCTGATTCCCCATTTGGTATTTATGAAAAGATTCTTGTAGGAAAAATACAGTTTCCACAACATTTCGATTCACATGCCAAGGATCTTATCAAACGTTTTTTGACTGCCGATCGTACAAAGAGATTAGGGAATCTCCGAGGCGGTAGTGAAGATGTTAAAAGACACAAATGGTTTCGTGGAGTAGACTGGCAGGGATTATATGATAAACAAATACAAGCACCAATTATACCTCCCTACCAACACCCAGGGGATACAAGCAATTTTGAGAGATATCCAGAGCCAACAGAAGAAATGAATAGCCCGATTGGATTAGCAGGAGATCCACATCGACACTTATTTGCAGATTTTTAAAATTTTAACAACAAAAAGTAAATAATATAATATATTGAATGTAAATTTTTTATTATTACTTTTCCTAACCGTTCGGTTTTGAACCGAAACCGAACGGCCGGTTTAGGTTTCGGTTCAGTTTCAGTTTATTAAAATATAAATCGGAAGATCCCAGTTCGGTTTCAGTTCGGTTTCGGATTCTTTGCCGAACTGAAAACCGAAACCCAAAAAAAAATATAATTAATTTTTTTTTTTTATAAAAAAATCGTCGAACATGTATGATACTAAAATAATCATAGATAAGCAGAATGATTATTTTGAAGGTTTTAATTCCCTTGAAGCTCTATCAAGACCTCACACGTGAAAGAGGGAAAATTCCGGGCGATGAAAAATGTATACTTGCGGATGATCATTATCATCATTTAATCGAATTTATGAATAAAGATAATATCGTGACATCTTTTCATTATCATTTTCTCTCTTGACACCAATCTCGGAGTATTTTTTTTGGGTAAATTTAACCTAGATCACAATTGTGTATATCACGTGGATATTACTTTAAAATTTATTTATGTGGGTCTAAGGTAAGAGTTTAGACCTGGCAAGAAATTTTCCGATCATATCTATCGATCCATCACTTAATTATTATCTGAACAATTTTTACCTCTCTACTATTACATAGTAACCTAAATGATCCAAATAAACAGGTCTTTTTTTTTAATTTAACTAGCGAGTATTTTTTTTTCTAGTAGCCACCTGCCACTAAAATATGACTGGTGTAACGTAAATGGGGTCTAATCTTTGATATTTGAGCATTTTTTTGCATCTTTTGATTTCGCTCGCGATTTGCGAAGCGCAAAGACTAAGATAATCCTAAGATAGAAAGAAGGGCCTAGTTCTTGGCTACAAAATGATATGTGTATCATTCCGGTAGTATTGTTATTCGCGTTTAAGCCGACGTCCGTGAAAATTTCTGCCATAAATTTTTTGTAATTCTGGCCAGAATTATGAAAAATTCCGGAAAATTTGAGCGAAATTTTTGACGGATGTTCAAATTTAAACACGAATATCTCCGCAAATTTTAATGCTACAGAAATGAGATACATATTATATTGTAGCCAAAAGCCAGGGCTTTCGATCTGTCATAAAAATATCTTAGTAGAAAATCGCTACCTGTCGCGTAAATCGTGGGCAAATTCAAAAAATATAATTTTTTTTGCGTAATCTTCAGGTCACGTATTTTGTGTAATACAACATACATATAAACCATCTCCTTTTAAATCAGCAATTTCTGGCAATCATTTTTTATTTAGCCATTATGGCTTTTTTTTCACAATGGAATGCATGTTTAACAGGTGAAGCTTATAATCATAATCGTAATCATAATCAAGTAGCAAGTAGCAAATAGATATAGTAATCGTACATGAATAATAGATGGAAGAAATAAAAACCCAGATATATTTTTGATCGTTTTTGGTAAGATTTTCTTATCAAAAAAGAGAATAGTAGCAAATGTTTTAAAATATCCTTTTCAAGGACTTTTTCATAGCATTCACCACTCATGTTGCATTTATTACATTTGCAACACATCGTGACTTTCCAGAAACAGACAAAATGTTAGTTTCAAAAATCTATTCTACAATAAATAAACAATAAATTTGTTGAAATTCTTTAATAGTGAAAACAATCAAATTCTTATTGTGTATTTACTAAATAATATTTAAATCCAATTTATATTTGCTAATTAATCAGTAGTTAAAAATATTACATATTGTAGAACAATATTTTTATCATTATATTATTTATTTATTTATATGTAATTTATTATTTTATTAGTTTATTATTTAGATACAGTGCACACTACCTAAAAACAGAAATCATGTGATTTGTCCAATTTCTCAATCTAAAAATCAAACTGAATTTAAATAAACAAGAAATTGATTTATACTTACTTTACAACAAATCATGTAACTTTTCAATTTGATTATTACTCTTTATTTGTTGAGGGAATCAAAATTAATTCACATAATTATTAAATTATATTTTGTTCCACTGGACATTAAGTTAAGTATTTTTAAGATGCTACAAGTTAGGAATGAATAATTATTTTTTCAAAAAGAGGTTAACAGTTTATAGTAAATTAACTTAGCTTCAAAATGTCAACTTTCTTTTCTTGATATTACCTCTGTATCACATTCTATAACCTTTTAAAAATTATCAAATTCATTGTAGTCTTTAGGTAACATGCACTGTAAAATATAAGTAAATCATAGATTGTAAAATACATTACCTAATTAGATTACCTGTTACTAAAATTAATAATTAGTAAATCATATTGCTACATGTGATTTCTCTACTATTAAGCAGCAGGGAGCGCGAGCAGACTTTCTATTTTGTGTTCCTCACTTTTTCACCTTTGGGGTTTACGCTTTTCTGGCTTTTTTAGCGCTTTCTTGAGAACATTAGACAAAAACTAATTAAGGAATCAGATTGAAAGCT